AATTTATGAATATAAAGAATAAAAGGAAAACAGAACATATAGAGTCAGTTATTGTAATAATAATAGAATTGGAAATACAACAAACATAAAGAATGATTTTAGAGTAATGTGTGGTAAAAGAAAAAGGATAAAAGAGAGATAAGTAGGGTGAACCATGAAAGAATAAGCCATATAAAAGAAGCGAAACCAACAAACATATCTGGAAATTCTAACAGAGAAAGAATTGCAAACAATGAAGGTGAAACATTCAAAAGTCATCAAAGACCTATGGGCATATATGAAGTTAGTGAAGTGTATAGCATTGGACATTGTTATAAAAGAGAGAACAGAGTTAAAAGAAGTGAAAAAAGAGCACTTATCTGGTATTAGAAATTTACTAAGGCAGATGAAGTTAAAAGGGAAGAGAACAAAGCATTCGGCTATAATTAAAAATCAGCAGGATTGAATAATGCTAATATGAATGATGCTAATAGAATATATATTAGATATTGGTACTATTATAGAAATAGTATTGGAAAAGATAACAACAAGGTACTTGTCTAGTGCTTTAATTATGATGAAGATAGTGATCTGAATGGATATAGTAATTCTGAAGAGGATTCAAAGTTAGCTGAAGACTGCAATTCGAAGAGACGAAACAACTTTAGAACATGTTGTGATGTAAACATTGATGGCTCTAAATATCGAAAAGATTTATTTGTGTAATACTTAGAACCTGTTGAAAATAGAAAAGTTGGAAATATTAGCTTGGATGATAGAGAAGAAGTCTATTTAAAAAGTAATGTTGCTAGAACAATTGATATTAGAATTGTTATCGAAATGATAAAATGTATGAAATGAATAATAGAGAACCTGAATACTCACCTGATCCAGATGATGAAAAGGCTCAAGAAAGTAGATTTGTTAATAAACTTAATAACAAAGCTAGTGAAGAGGAAGCGATGATATTGATGGAAGCTCTATTAGATGTGGTAATGAAAATAGATATATTGATTAAAGACCTTGTAGAAATATTAAGAAAATAGAGAAATTTCAATAGTGCTGAAGAGTTCATAGCTGATAATAATGAGAGTAAAGCTGCAAATAGTAGAACATATGAAGAGTATTTGAAAAACATTAGACGTGACAATTTGAATGAATAACAGAACCTTGGATTCTGTTATGAAAATAGAATTGAGAATAAAACTGATGAATATCAGGCATTTAGGTAGAATTTGAAACTTCATAAAGTGACTTAGAATCAGTTAAACACGAAATGAATATTGTATAATGTAATGCTGATAAACAATTATAGTAAGAATTTGGCAAGGGCATATAGAACAAATTGCTAAATGATTGAAACATTTGGTGTTACTGCGGTTGATTCTTCAGTTAATATTACTTTCTAGACTCTTGAGAGGGGAAAAAAAAAATGAAATGAATATATAAAATAAATATATCATTTTTAAAGTAGTGAATCTATTATAACAAATTAACTTCAAGTTAAAATTTAATTTAGAGATTCTGATCGAATTACTAATTAGACCAAACAATGGTTTGCATTATATTTTTCTCACAAAAGAGTGGAGTAAAAAAACAAAAATTATATATAATATTCTTTTGACAATAAGCATTTTTATATATTTTTTTACAATCAAAATTCTCGTAATCTAGTGATCAAATTTGCATAATTTTGAAATATTAAGTATACAGATTTAATTATTAGATTATGTAAATTAAAACTATAATTTATTTTCAAAGTAGAGATATAAACTAAATATCTAAATAATAACTTTTTGAAAATATTAATTATTTTTGCTTATATAATTAAAGAAATTATCTAGTATTTCGAATATTATTTTGCTTATACAATTAGAGGAGCTATCTAGTATTTTGATTGTTTTTTGCTTTTGAATAGTCTAATTATATTCTAATTTTTTATTTTTTATTTTATTTGTATAGCTGATATTAATGTCATATATTTTGTTATTTGTACCCCCTAAAGATCAATTTTTTTTTAACTTTGAGCAAAGATATTTCAATAGCCACTAAGACAAATTTGATGAATTTTTTATTTGAATTTTACAGATTGTAGAATTAAAATAAAAAAATCTATTAATTTTAGCTTGGTAGTTGTCGAAATATCTTTACTCAAAGTTAAAGAAAAATTTTGACAGCTTTTATTTTGATAAATGTTTTGAGTTTTTTAAAACTTTGCATAAAGATATCTCAACAACTACTAAGCCAAATTTAATAAATTTTTTTATTTGAATTCTACAATATTGTAGAATTTAAACAAAAAAAATTCATCAAATTTGGCTT